GAACCGCTTGTGAAATATCATCGAGTCGGGAGACGCTTAACGATATTTATCGGAAACCCTTTCGTGGCGCTTCCGAACGACGTCGGCCAGATGTCCAAGTAGTTGTCGGTTAAACGACCGACGTGGGTTTTTTTTTTATTTTTCGGATGCGTCGGCAATTCGATTTCGTATTCCGCCCGTCCCTCCCTCGCTGCCCGCCGCGTACATCGAAGGTTTATGGCTCGTATTTCCTCTTTAACGCCGAGGTTGCTCCGACCGCGGGTGATTCCACTCGCCTTTGTGCTCTCTCCTCGTCCTCTTTCTCCCGATTCCCGCTCTGCCTCCCTCTCTCTTCCGTCCTCGCCGGACGTTCGTCCTCTCCGGTCTACCTCCGTTCGCCGGAGGACCGCTTCGTATCCTGTCCCTCGTCCAGGCGCAGACGACCGTCGCCCGTTACCTTCCGATTCGTAGGATTTCACGAATTCCTCCGTTTCGTAATCTCCCTCGCGTTGCGTCCATTACGCGGCCACGAATCCTTTCGTCAACGAATCCCGTCCGTCACGCGATTCATTCTTCCCTTAGAAGAGCACCCCGCTCGTCGAGGCTTCTACCGTTTCCCTGTTTGCGCTGTGCCCTCGACCATCGTCGCTGCTTTCTGGAACTTTCTGACAGACCAGGGTTCCCGAAAGGACGGCCAAATTGGCGTATTTGTTCTAGCAATTTGTAAGGTCTCGCGGTGCGCGATAATTAGACGCGCGGTGCGCGACGTGTCCGGATAAAAATACTCGAGGTCGACGATCCCGCCATCGCGGAGGAACCACGGGTCTGCGAAGTCTGTGTCGAGGACCGGGAGAAAAACGTCGGCGCGGAGAAAGAGGCCGGTGTTTGCTCTGGCCGATCGTCGAATCCGCGAGGCGCCGTCGACGACGCCGACGACGACGACGACGCCGACGACGAAGGTGGCAAAAACTCGTTTCGTGGTTCGTTGCGAAGGTTAAAACCGTAACGCTTCTATCTGGGTTGTTCCCGTGTGCTGTGCTCGCCGCGGACGCACACGAGCTGGCCGAGCTTAACATCGGCAAGGCCCCTTGCCAGACCGCAATTACATCCCATAAAGCACGATTGAGACACGGTTCGACCATTATTCTCCCATACAGGGCCGTACAAAAGGGTCTTGCCGTTTAACGCGCCCCCATACGAGCTCCTTGCTTTCGGAATTTATATACGTACACGCGTGCGTACACGCATGCCTCTGCTCCCTCCGACTGTCGGACGAAAGCAAGGAAAATTGTTCGAGACCTCGCCGTCCAGGCGTCCAGAATCGGCCGCTGTTTCCTCCGTAATTGCGGACGACATCGTCGTTGTTCTTGGCTCCGATAGCCCGAGGGTGGTCGACCGTCGGTTCACCTCCTCGAGAAAATCTCCTCCGATGTTCCCTCTGCTCTCCTCTCTCCTCTTCTTTCCTCGCTGTGCGCGCGAAAAATCCAAGGACACGAGCTGCAACGAGGCTCGCGGATGCAAATCGCGGCCGACAGTGCTCGCGTCCATTTCCCTAATCCCGAGTCGTGGCCGCGCGTTCATGCATTTATGCATTCTTCCGCCGGACTAGTCGACTAGTTCGGCCTCGCGTAATCGTCCCCTCGCCGAGGACGACCTGGAATCTCCTAATTCGATCGCGACCAGAGCCCCAGCTTTTCCCGAGGCACCCGAGGACGAGTAGACGCCTGGGTCCGACGCGACGAGACAGGGGTTGCGAACGCTCGGTGGCGCTAGTGTCGGGACGAGGAGGACGCGAAGAAGCGGAGGGAAAAAAGAAATAAAGGCGAACCTGGCGGGACCGACTTTCACTCCAAAGACGTAGGTTACGATCTTCTGGACGACGGTGCGTGTATTTGTTGATATTCGAGGGACAGAGAGGAAAAATTACGCAATCGGTTCATTGAGTAACCGCGCGAGATAAATGGCCGCCGCGTATTCTGCCCGGTCGCCGCGATCGCGCGAGCCTCTTGCCGGTCGATCGTGCCGGGCCCCGGAGGATGAGGTCGTTCCGAAGATAATATTGTCTTTCGACCGGTTCCTACGGTGTCTTTCTTTCCTCTTCTTTTTTTTTGCCCCCTCCTTTTTCTCTTGGTTTCTCGTTCTGGTCCGTGCCAGCTTTCCTGGTCGCGCTTAATCGACGAAACTCGAGGCACGTTTCGTCGTCGCGCGCGATTGTGCGGCTTCTTAAGACTTTACGAAGCAATTACCGCGCCGCTAATTAGAGTAGGAGCGCCGGCCTCGCAGGTCCGTCCCATTTTTGCCTACGAGAACAGCGCGATCCTCCTGCCGCGTAATTGCAATTTCGATTGCCGCGCACGATTTCGTTGCTCGCTGCACTCTGCCCGTTTTTGCGGCACCGGTAAACCTGCCGACGCGATACGGCAGGGATGGCGAGGTAAAGTGTGACCTGGGCGAGGGATGGGACGGACGCAGCGATTCGGGCGAGGGAGGATTTGGCGAGGGGAAAGGATCGATGGACAGATCGATCGTTCCAGCGATTACGCTTACGATCGGCTGACGATTCCGTTTCGACAGAGGTCTTCGGGATGGGACCTGGGAAATCTAGGCGCGACGTCGAATGTCCCGGGCAAGATCAACATTTGCCTTTCTTCCTGCTCGCGTCCGCTCGCTTCCGCGACGCGGAAAAAAGGCCACTCGTTCCGTTTCCTTCCTGCAGGTCTCCTTCGGGCAACATTCTTCTTTCTTCCGGGGTAAAAAGACGTCGCGCGTCCTCCTCGACGGCCCTCGCGCGGGTATCCGGCGTGTTTACACTGGCCCGACAATCGAGCACGAGTTCTCCTCGCTAACGAAGACCGAAAACTTAACGAACGTCCCCCTCCTCTCCGCAGCGGCCGGCAAAGCCGCTAACGATCGTCGCAGCAGCTCGGAGGAAACCCGCTAGGCATCGACGAGCCTTCGGTTATCGCGTGGAACCAGGTCGGCCTGGACGGTAATCCTGCGCGAAAATGGCACGCGTTGGCAAGCTGCCACGAGCCGGGGTGATATTCAACCGGATCGACGTCGTTAAATACCCGTCGATGAAACCGTCGCGCCATTTCCTCGAAGCGGTTTGCGACCCGTCACGGGCTTCCGTTGATGCTCCGAGTGTCGCCCGGCGCGTTAGCGAGAGAAGCCGTTCTCGGCGTATCGTCCACCGCCAACCAGCCAGTCCAGCCAGGCATCGAATCCGCGTTGGAACAGGCGTGCGAGCCGGCCGGACAAATTGAATTCGCGGATTACGTATGCCCGCGGGTACAAATTGGTAGGCCGGGGAAAAAGCGTGGGACGAAGCTAGGGACCAGCGATTCCACGGTTCCACGAAGGCTCTAGACGACTCGTCTCGCATCAGCCAGATCGCTCGCTTTGTCTCTCTGTGCCTCGGCCGTTTTTCTCCCTTTCGGTGGCTTTTTTCAGGGCTGATTCTCAGCCACACCCCCGTACATCAGAGACGTTTTAAACGGGGACCAGACACGCTCGCGCACCTCGGTACTTTGGTTCGAGGCCTTTAATTTGGCACGTGTTCCACTCTTGGCTATTGTTGCCATGATTGTTGGGTCTCTTTCCTCTCGCTCTGTCTGTGCCCGTCTTCCGCCCCTCCTCCTTCGCCGCTGGTTTTTGCGCTAAACGGCTCACGCTGGTAAATGCACCGCGTGTACGCCCGGTGTATACTCGGCACGCGTTCCGCTTCTTCGTGCCCGTTTTTCGCCCCGCGGCCGACTTTCCGTCCAAACGCAGCGTTTCCGACAACCCGAACGCGGCTCGCGTTCCGCACGCGAGTCCACTCCACCGCCCTAAGGGGTCCAGAGACGATCACGTTCCCGCGAGAATATCTCCGCTTCAAAGTCCATCTCGTCGCAGCTTCCGTCCAATCGAATCGAATCGAAACGGCAAACGCCTTCTGATTTAGCGTCGCGAATCCCTCGCGAGGAGACGTTCGTTTGACCCCAGTTGCCCCGTCGCATTTCTCCGGACGAGCAACGTCGAGACGATCGACCCGTTTTCGAAGCGAGCGAAACCGGGCCACTCATTTGCCTTAATAACGCTCGGCCGGTGGGGGTCGACTTTCGTTTTTCATCGCGACTGGTCTTTCGCGAATCGCGACCTCGCTCGCGAGTTTCGTTAACGGTTCCCAGCGTTTCTCGGCCGGTTCGTGGATCCCGCGGCGGGCGGTAAATCGGCGCGCGGAAACGCGGCGACGAGGATTCCGCGCGGAGCGCGAAATAACACGGTACGAAGGAGGTCTCGGTCCGCGGACGAGTCCCGCGAGGAGAACGTACGAGGCCTGTCGGCCGGCAAGATAAAGAGTGGCGCGTATACAAAGAAAACCTGCTGGCACGCAGCGCGTGAGGAAGAACGATGGCGAAATTCCCCGCGAACGGTCGGTAAATTCCAGGCTTTACTGCCTGTCGTCGGCGAAATCGAAGCATATTATTTCAGCGGAGCGCGCCGGATGATCCGAGGCCCGCGCGGGGCACGAGAAGGGCGGACATAGGGGGCCCGGAGAACGCCGAGTGCGTTTCGTGGCTTGGACGACGAGCGTCCGGAGAGGAATTCCCTGAAGGGAGGAGGAACGCGATCGACACGCGTGTCGCGGACGACGAGACGAGACGTCGACGTCGGAAAATGTTTCCCGTGGAATTCCTCTATCGTCGTGGTCGTCGGCGTTGTTATTCTCGAGGCTGCCGGGAACCGCGTCCCTCGGCAAAGATGGCGCCTCGCCACGTCGGGCCACGCGGTAGCGAAAGAACGTCGCGCGGAGACGAAACCGAGTAGAGATGAGAGCATTCTCGGCGAGTCGATCGATCCGAAAGCGGGGAACCTTTGCAACGAAGTGGTTTCGATTTGGTTCGAAGCGTTCACCCCACCCTGAGTCTCTACCCTTGTTGCATGAAAATAGTATGTGTTTAGTAGAACGGGGGTGGCGGGCCGCTCTGCCGGCGGGATGGGTTTTCGATTAATCGGGGCTCTATGGTGGTTTGCAGGAGCTGAAGGAAAGCTTCAATTACGGCTTGTTCTGCCCGCCCGTGAATGGAAAAGCCGGGAAATTCTTGGACGAGGAACGTCGCCTCGGCGATTATCCCTTCAATGGACCCGTCGGCTACTTGGAGGTAAGAC